ATATATATATAAAATTAAAACTGTTTAATTGTTGTCATAATTTTCATTTTCTGTCTTTAATGAAACTTCACTGACAAGATTAGCACTGTGTGGAGGCTGTTGAATCTGACACAAAGACACTGAAGAGTCAATAAAAACCCTAAATCCAGCACAGAGGGGTTCAGTGAATGTGGAGTAAAATGTGTGTAAGTGTGTGAGTGTGTGTGTGTCAGAGACGCTATAGAAGGACAGAGTGCCATCCTGCCAGTCCAGAAACACTCCTACTCTCTTAGAGGAGAATGGGATGTGTATGTCACTGCTTTTTTTATTGTGCCAGACAGTGAAAATCTCATCAGAGCAATCAAGGCTCCAGGACTTTTCATTGAATCCAAATCTACAATCATCACTTCCTCCTTTCCTGTTCATTCCTTTATGTGCCACTGATATAACAGCCCCCCTCCACCCGCTCCATTCGACCTCCCAGTAGTACCGTCCCGACATACTCTCTCTACACACAACCTGAGGAAAGTAATCAAATCTCTCTGGATGATCAAGATATGACTGCAACTCCTCCAAACGTGTAACCTTTCTGTTCTGCTCAGACAGACAGAGATGGATGTTTACTGTGTTTGGATCCAGTGTGAGATCACAGGCATCTGAACACAAGAGAAAAAACAGAGGGGAGAATGAGATCACAACAGTGACAAAAAGGTGTGTTTGTGTGTGTGTAAACTTACACTTGCGTAGTCCTGCTGTAGTCATGACCTCTCCAGCATGATCCACACTGTAAAAATAAATAAGGCCACTTTCTGCTTTTCTAATTCAATAAGAACATAAAATAAGTGAAATGTGAAAAGTAAATAAAATATACTTTTCTGCAGAAAAACTTTCCTATTCATTGGAAGTATGCCCTCTTTCTTCTGTCTGGTGTGAGTTTGTTTGTCTTAGCACATGGCTTTGTTTCCTATAAAATTATCTCTCATTATTCCTCTGATCCGCTTGCTCTTATCTCCTCCTCTATCCCTCTCTGAACTAGTGATGGGAAGTTCGGATCATTTTACTGACTCGGATCTTTGAATCACATTCAGCAAAATGAACAAATCCTTTTTTCTCCCGAGTCTTCTGGGCGTTCATTCTTTTGTTATGTCACATCCTCATAAGGTTAATTGAATGCTCTGCATTTTTAAAGGGAACAGAATTGATTAGTTCACCTCTCGTGTCTTCGGATACGAGTCGTTTGTTCTTTTGTCACGTGACTGCTTTCCGGATCAATATCTTGTCTTATATTTAGGAATTACCAAAGTGATTTTCCCCATCATACAGATAAAGTTTAAAGCATTAACCAACTCTTTATTATCACATTCATTATGGAAAAGAACCATCACAGAAATTCACAAATTTAGAAATTGTAAGAAATAAAAAGCTATAAAGCTCAAATAAAATTTACAGACTGCATAGCCTCTAGCCCAGGGCTGCCCAAACTCGGTCATGGAGGGCAGGTGTCCTGCAGAGTTTAGCTCCAACTTGCCTCAACACACCTGCCTTTAAGTTTCTAGTATGCCTAGTAAGAGCTTGATTAGCTGGTTCAGGTGTGTTTAATTGGGGTTGGAGCTAAACTTTTCAGGACACCGGCCCTCCAGGACCGAGTTTGGGCATCCCTGCTCTAGCCTATGGGGCTGTCACGTGATGAACGAATGACTCGTACCCAAAGACTGAGGAGGTGAACTAATAATTTCTCTTTCCGGTACAGACTGCATAGCCTCTAGTCCAGGGATCCTCAAATCTGGCCCACAAGATCCACTTTCCTGCAGAGTTTAGCTCTAACCCTAATCAAACACACCTGAGCATGCTAATCAATGTCTTCAGGATCATTAGAAAATCACAGGTAGGTGTGTTTGATCAGGGTTGGAGCTAAACTCTGCAGCGCATTGGCCCTCCAGGGCAAGATTTGAGGAACCCTGCTCTAGTCTATGGGGCTGTCACGTGATGAACGAACGACTCTACTGTTTCCTGTACAGAACCTATTGGATGTTGCTGTGTGTGCTGTGCCATTCCTGTCGGATCCAATATAGACAGCAGAGCATTGCTTTTTTTTTGCTCAATCTCTCTGCAAATCCAGCGTCGACCGGGTATCTTCTTTACAAAGGAATCCGCGGTGAAATGAAGCGAACAAACATTTAATGTTTAACTCACGTGAGCTTAAACTTCATTAAAAATAAAGTTCAACCACGCATTCCTAATATCTGAATCCGAAGGAAGTTTATGCAGCTACTGTGTTCTTCCACAACCAGGCACTGCACAATATTTTGCCATCTTCCAGCATGTTTATTGCTTGGTTGCTCAATCCGGTTTGGTGCCACTTATGTTGTTTCCCTACTATGTCATACGTGAATCAGTGGGCGGGGAATTAGGGGATATTATTCTGTGGAGGCGGTGTTTAACCTATCTATTATAGATAGGCGCATTCCAGGATCTAGTGTTGGCTTGGCCTGGTGTCAATAAAAGCTTTGATTCCAATAACAAGGACGTTTTCGGTTCTTTTCATATATCAAAAGTAAAAGTTGATTTCTCAATTCATGACCCCTTTAATAAACCTGAATTTATTCCTCACCTCTCTGGGTCCTCTATCCAGTGAACATGCCTTGACAGCTCCAATACACTTTAGCTCCTTTACACTTTGAACTCCAAATAAACAGAAAAAAGTTAATCGTAATGCCCAACATACTTGAGTTTCTCCAGTTTACAGTGTGGATCCTCCAATAGATCAGAGAGCAGCTTCACTCCAGAGTCGCCTGGGTGATTGTAGCTCAGATCCAGTTCTCTCAGGTGTGAGGGGTTTGACCTCAGAGCTGAAGCCAGATAACAACAGCCTTCCTCTGTCACCATACAGCCAGATAATCTAAGACACACACACATCAATAGTAAAGACCGCAACACTAAAACACCAAACCCTTTCAGGATACATCTCGTTTGAATGGCAGGTCATACACGGCAGCAGGTCAGGCTGCAGCCTCATTGCACACCATGGCAGTGCTTCAGGCTTACCAGGCTGATCTACTGAAAGACCTGGATAAAGGCCAGGGTCTATCCCCTGTTGAGGTGGCTGAGTTGCGTCACACCATGGATCTTGCTCTCCATGCCACTAAGCAGGCTGCCAGATCCATGGCAGCCATGGTGGTTACAGAGAGACATCTGTGGGTGAGTCTGGCGGATATCGGTTCGAAAGAGAAGGGCATTCTTTTTGATGCGCTGGTTTCCCCTTCGGAGCTTTTCGGCACTTCCGTCAAGATGGTGGTCGTGAAGTTTAAGGAGGTCAAGACGCGCTCGGCTGTCTTTAAATCCTTCATTCCACAAAGGTCCGGGCTTCGGACTTCACCTCCAGCCTATATCCATGAGCCTGAGTCATGTGCGGGAGCCTACAATCCACGATTCATCTACAATCCATTTTCATCTACTCTACTGCTAGTTCTTGTGTATTCGATGCTAGCGTTTCTCTGCAGCGCTACTCGGTTGTGGAGCTCAACGCTCCATAGACGGTTGGGCCCGTGGGTTCTCACTGTCACACTGCTCTTATGGTTGAACCAGTAATCACCCCTCTGCGGATTGGGCTGGAGTACACTGAGTGCCCTGAGGTAAGAGGGATTTATGTTTCTGTGGAAACCCCTCTTTTGTGCTTTCTGCTCTGAGGAGCAGTAAGCTCTATTCGCATGAATGGTTATTGTTAATTCCGCTATTTCTTCAGATTCTATTGGGTCTGGTTATACGGGACCCACGCTCTCTATCGAGATAGCGAGCATGAGACTGTGTCCAGCTGCTCCAGTGGACTGTCTCTTATTGGGCCCTGCTGGGTTACCCCTTCTAATCTAGTGCCCCCTTCTGCTGATAAGTGCTCCCCTCTCTGTGAGGGTTAGCTATGAGTGACTCCCAGTATGTGCTGTAAGGGCCCGCTTCAGCTTGAGAGCCGAGAGCGCTGCTCCCGAAGTACCCCATTTGCAACAAACTAAGTGTTAGGCCCGTCTCTGTTGCCTCCTTGGTCAGTTGCCTTTATGTTGGGTCCCTGTTGTTCCCTTAGAAATGTATGATCCCCTACTAGCAGGATCCCATTTCTGATGTCCCATTTGCCTTCTATCTGCCCCCAGACATGGCTGTGCTCCCCTCACTGCGGGAGGATCCCTTTAAGCTCGCCGGTCCTGGGCAGACTGGGTGAGTCCTCCTCTCAACTCGAGAGTTAGGTCATCTTCCCTGGGCTATTGGTCGTTTCGGTTGAGCTGGGTTCCTCTCTCTCCTCGTTAGGGGTTGAACCCTCTGCTCTTGAGCTCCGTGGCAGTGACATCAGGTAGTTGGGCCGCTTTCTGCTTCCCTGTCATATAGCCACAGTCATATAGGGCCCCTAGGCTGGCTTAACACAGCCTCGGTTACCCCTTAAGCAAAGGTGTTTCTAAATCAATGCTATAGTAAGTCCACACGCTAAGCCTCTGTGCACTTTCTAAAATCCACATTGTGGTAAGTGTGCATGCTAAGCATTCTGCACACTTTCTAAAATCCTGTATGGTAAGGGTTACGCGTTGTTAGCCTCGTTTCCTTTCTCTGAGTTGACTTAGGCCCCGGTTCTTGCCTTGGGCTCCACTCAACTAATGTATCTCTGTTGATACATTTCTGAGCAGGGCGTTGCTACCAAAGATCTGTCGAGTCAGTTGTAAGGCATTTGTGAACATCACACAAATGAACGATGGAATCTCCGCATTCCACCGGAAAACTAACATCTCTCCTCAACCATATGAGAGTTGTAAAGCTGAACCATGGTCAGCCCAGGCGCCAATTGTCTCAAATAAGTTCCTGTCCCGCTCGGCTTATCTTTACAAGAAACACAAAGAGAGAGAGATTTACCAAACCACCTCCAGGGTCGGCAAGCACTAGGACAGCAATAACTGAACCACACCCCCCCCCCCCTCCCATCAGCCCT